CCAGTCTATTCCCACTCTTCATCGTAAACAGGATTACAGCTTTCCCCTGGATACACGGTAATCGACAAGGCACTTTCCAGTCTATTCCCACTCTTCATCGTAAACAGGATTACAGCTTTCCCCTGGATACACGGTAATCGACAAGGCACTTTCCAGTCTATTCCCACTCTCACTGCAAACAGGATTACAGCTTCCCCTGGATACACGGTAATCGACAAGGCACTTTCCAGTCTATTCCCACTCTCACTGCAAACAGGATTACAGCTTTCCCCGGGATGCGATTAACGAGCGGTCACGATATACAAATCTGTGGGCCAGGTAGAGTCCTCCCCTTATCTAATACGTGGGAGAGATACAACAAAAAATATCCGTAGCGACTCGACTGCGCGCTAATACTACATGTATGCAAAAAATGCTCACAAGCTGCTACACTAATGGTTTGAGACGAGTACTGGTTACCTGTATCAGCCTTGATTGTGATCTTCTTGACAAATGCGAGGCCATGCTGTAGATCGAGCATCTCCCCTCTCAGCTTGTCAGGCTGAACGTCGACCAGGCACAGTTCACTGGCAACGCCCTACGAGAAGGTATAGGAATCGTGAACATACAATCCTACTTGGTTTCTAACCCAGCTCCAGTTGTTAACATAGGGCTTTTGAATTGCAGGCCGAGTGCAAATCAGCAAAATGCCAGATGATGGTTTTGGGAGTTGCACTTGATGACCATAGGTGAAAAATAAAACCTTACTCATAATCACAGCAAACTGGTCTCACATGATAAATGGGAGTACATCTCTATTCCTAGGCTACCATGTGTTCTCATCCACAAGCCGGGCATTTGCTAGCTCGAATACCTCAATGGTTTGAAAAATTTTGCAACACACAATTAACGAGGCATATAGTGTACACCCCCCCCATCTATTATATATATCAGGAGTAGATAATAGGGAAGGAGTGTGACATCAATAAACAAGGGAAATTCGTCATTTACTAGCCTTATAATACCTACGATTTACTATGCGTAACTCATCCAACTTGAGCTCAAATCGGACACAGTACATTCGCCTAGCATCGTGCGAAATCGTTTCCTCGTATACACCCGCAATCCGGAGATAAAGACTAAAACAAACGACACGATGTCGGCGCGAATCGCCGTGCCACAACTCTACTGGATCAAAGCCCCATGTCATGTCCATCAACGACGGAGGCGAGGGCTTAGTTCTGCATTACGGGAGATGCCGAAATGCTACAGAAAGACGTAGCGCAGTGCGCTAACAGCGTGTTATTTGCGTATTTGTGCCAAACTCTATCGTAGCGAAACCGTTCTACATAGCAGGAATGCCCTAGTTCCTGAGATCAGCAAGTTTGGTGGTCAATGGGTCCCCCCTTAGAAAATATTAAAAGACTTGTTGCGGCGTAGGCTGTGATTGGAAGGACACGTGTCAATCCTCGGCGCGCCAGGCATCTTGGCCGCATAACGTCAGTGGAATCAGACATCGGCAACTACAATATAGAATACAGAACTACAAACGTACAAAATTCAGGTGAGGCCAAGTTTTATTTACAACATAACAGTTGGTTTGATTATATAACTCGTGAAAATACATAGTAAACAAACTGGCATAAATTAAAACTATCAAAGCAACAGCATATCCAGGTCCCTCTAAATACTACAGCTAGTGACTAGATGCCAACAAATAAAATTCTGACAAATTTAAACAAGGCTGCTTTTTTATAAATTTTAAATAGCGCCTGATAACCTGCTTGCAACACTTTACCACACTAACTTTTGACTATTAAACACCATAAAATAACAAAAATTATTACTTTTTGACTGCTAGTTGTGTATGTGCTTATATTTACGGTAGTTATGCCCATAGGGCTATGTCCCCCAGCGGTTACGCCCTGACGTACGCCTGGGTACGCGGCTGCGGTATACCGGAACGACCCTGCGAACCAGTTGATATGGTTTAGGGCTTAGCGAGTAAGCGAGGCGGACTCCCTAGACTCGTTAGTGAGTAGGCGAGTTATGGTCCGGCATATTAAATAGCTACCAGGTACGTTCGGTATACGCGGGACCCTACCAGGGGGACTAGACCTATCAGCGGTAGTTATCTAGTAACAACTTACTAATACCCATAACAAACCATTATTGACCATCATTGTAAAATAATTGTGTAAAAAATAAAATACACATTTCGTCCTCGTTTAACGTAGTCCACTGCATCATCAAAACTGCGATCTTCCCTGTGTGCACAGATCATGAAATTTCAACTATCATTATGTGCACCCTCGGTGATCTTGACAATTATGATTACAACACTTATCAGTGGATGTTTTCCTTCACCGCCTCTCACCGAACTTGTTGAAATGCCATTCCCTATTGCGCCGAGGCCCTATTGCCATGCGAAGTGTTTAAAACTTTCTGTCGGAACAAAGCGGGATTAAAGCTAATTCTACCATACTAAAGTAAATGGGATTTACCATAAAAAATACATTAAAAAATTGGGCATAATTGGTATAGGTAATAAAGAAATCATTTCATCAATAGCTGTATATTAAGGCACATTGACGATCTAAGTGGAGCTGGACCAATGTAAACAAGTGTCTACATCGACTCCAGCCCCCCCCCCGCGCCAACAATGTTTCGTCGGTAAGCTAGCCACTATAACAATGTAACGGCCAAAAATCATAATAATGAAGTGCTCCACAAATTGTACCGAATACCTTTCCTAAATTACAGGCAACACAATATAAAGAAACAACACTAAGCGGCTTAAATCAACTTGTAAACTATGATTATCCGCTACAGTATAAAACACAATCCTATGGCTACACCAATGGCGCTGAACATTGTCATCGTGTGCAAGTAAATCTTAGCCGTCAGCGTCTGTATGAAAACTACAGATTGAGTGAAAGTTACTATGAGTTTAATAAATCTCGTTAAAAATTACTTACTAATTTAACCGTGTTTCCCAAGACACATATTTTACTGGGCTAACCTAGTGTTTACTGGGACTAATTTCCCATGCTGCCAATTTAATTCATATCTATATGAGAATCACAGACTACATCACTATCGCACTAAAGTTACATACTAAAAATGACTACATACTAAATTACTACTCTACCAACTACTTTATCTAATGAAAGTAACCTGTATACTACACATAAATGCCAGTCGTGATGGTTGGCGGGGGGATTTTTGTTTTTTCCCCCCATGTCTTCTTATAGTAGTGATGATCAGCCATATGACAACAAGTTGCCCTTTTCTTCTAGTTTCTCTACACATCACAAGCGTGCAACAACCTTAGCGTATAGTACTATCGGTAGGAGACCAGCTGTTGCTTTGGCATGTTGTGAGCAGCTGCCAACGACCGTTATAGCATTCCAAAGTACAGGCAGCGATGCTCCGCAACAGGACGCCTGCTGCACGCCTTTTACATTGATCTTAGTTAGCGTCTCGCCCATCACCTTCGGCCGCTCTTTTGCAGCTTCAGCAAGTTCCTCTGGCCTGCAGCTGCCTGCCAGGCATTACCTCCGTGATTGAACGTTATTCGGCGAGCACACACGGCAGAGCTCAAGGCAAAACATCCGGATCTATGCCCGTGCAGACCCTGCAAACAGCCAATGTACCGTCCTATAGACTGTAAATCGCTTGCGCATCTCAGTAAGTAAGGTTCACGTCGATTCATCGATGGCACTGCCGGTAACAAAAGGCGTGAAGTCACCAGGTAAAATGGCCACCTGTGAAGGTGAACCGGCGCCAAAGCCAGAAATTAGGTAATTAAGGCACACACGACAACGTGCGTCCAACAAGCGTACGTGCATATCACGATATCAGCGAGTTAATTATTAATAGCCATTATTATAATTTTCTAATGAATAATAATAATAATTCTATTATTATTCACTCCTGATGATAATGTACAGCCTGAACTGCTTAGAGCAGAATTACCGGCAATCAGCTTGCTACCTCAACCAGTACTCTTTCAACAGTCTCTCCAAACCAATCAGAAGTGAGCTAAGAATAACAAATTTCTCACTGTTAAACACCAGTGATGAGCAAAGACCAGCTGTTTCAAGATCATATCTGATCTTTGCGATCGACATGTGTGCTCCGAAATAAACTTGTCTAAAGTAAAGGGCCATAAGAGGTTGAAACACTTGGCCTATCAAATGTACTCACAACAGTCACGCGCAGGAACACGGAAACATATTTCAGCCATCATTCGCTCCCCTAAAGCTTATGGCCTCAATTACCTTAGCAAAGACTGGAGACCGCGTAGATGACCTGTAGTATTCTCGCAATACGGAGGAGCATGCGTAGACACGGATCACACATTCGCCCACGACGTGATACCCCTGCAGTTTTCGAATGATCTGATATGCACTGTAAAAAAGGTGCGATATCGCTTAGCACGCGCTGCCGTTCGAACATCGCACTCAGCAAGTAATGCAAAAGGCTTGCGAAGATCTCGGGAAAATAACTAGCAGCTAAATAAGTCAATTGGAGATGTCCATCTTGTCCGTGCAGCCAGTAGATACGCTGGATCGATATCATAGCTCAATCATCATGGAGTAGGAAATTACAAATAAGCCTCCTATACTCGACGGCTATGCGGCAGCCGCGCACACATACCTCTGGCGACCTGACGATGTATATCGCCCCAGTTCTCTTCGTCCTTATTCCGTGCGATGTCAGATAATGGCTGAGCAGGCCGCGTTCCAGCACATTCACGCACTCCAAATCGCAACTACAGCATAACATGTGACACAGCCAAAATGTTGAAAATAATGGAGCTCAATATGTCATTACTGCAATGTTAATATACGTGCAAGCCCGATTTTAGGCATAATCTCCATAACATACGACTCACAAATCTGCTTCTCCTCCATAGAAAACTAAATATTTAAGTGTTCACTCTAAGTATTAATACTACAGTAAATATCACCTATTAGCCATTTACAGACACGACAGCATTACGCAAATAAATTTTTCCCATTACGCCGCTTTAAAGAAAGTCTACGTCGATCGGAGCAATGGCAAGCTCAAAGGCAAAGCTAACACTCGAGTCGCCACATATTCGCCGATCACCCACATGACAGCTGGACGGAGCTATGCCCAGCCTCTCCCCATCAGGCAAGCGGTAATCGCGGATGAGTCCAGGTTGCGTTGCGCTGCCGGCATGAACGCGTTCCTGGGAAGCGCTGATTCTTCCAGCAACGTAGGTGAGCACGTCGACGGCTGTTGGAGACGAATGAAGCAGCGATCGTGTTGCGGGCTTGTGCCAGTTCACGTAGCTGAGGAATGATATCTGCAAGACGACGTAAGCGCTTTCAGTTTTATATATATATATACATATAATTATATTCATAATTTAATTATACTTAATTTCATTCTAAGCAAAATATATCAATTAATCCCTGTTTTACACTGACCCACATCTTCATTGCATCAATAAATTTAATCTCGCGTAACCCTATTAATTAGTCACGTTTAACCTAGTTCGACTTCCTCATGACTGGCAACATACAGACATAGTTAAGAATTGAACCTTTTTACACATTGAATAAA